AGATAATCCTGGGTTTACTACCAGGATGTAATGGTAGTGGAGGATAAAAGAAAACTTACAGTATTTAGATAATCCTGGGTTTACTACCAGGATGTAATGGTGGTGGAGGATAAAAGAAAACTTACAGTATTTAGATAATCCTGGGTTTACTACCAGGATGTAGTGGTAGTGGAGGATAAAAGAAAACTTCCAGTATTTAGATAATCCTGGGTTTACTACCAGGATGTAATGGTGTTGTAGGATAAAAGAAGACAACTTAGACGATGTCCTAGATAAATATATGTAAAGAGATTTGCATGATTTTTCATGAAAATTATTATTGACCTCGATTTTTTATACAAGATGTGAACGAGATTTCGATTTTGAAGGAATTAAAGCTTTGACTATGTGATTTTTACAATGCCAAGGATAAATAAATCGGTAATTGTGTTGTAGTATTTATATTAGGACGAACGAATACAAATCAAAATATTAAATTTTGGTAAGTTATTATTACAAAAAGTCCATACTTTTTCAGTTTTAACTTTTGTTTTTGTTGTTTTTAATTGGATAAACTCTCACTTTTTTATCTAGTATTTTGACTCGGCACTAATGCTTATAAAAAATTACATTTTTTTTCAAAGTTCCTCTTGCTTATTGTTGTGGTGAAGTTTTAGTTGCCTACCCACAACTTGTTGATAAATCATTATTGTAAAACCGTTTTTAATTCTCTTGCTTATTGTTGTGGTGAAGTTTTCATCTGCCTACACACAACTTCTTAATAAATCATTATTGTAAAACCGTTTTTAATCCTCTTGCTTATTGTTGTTGTGGTGAAGTTTTCGTCTGCCTACACACAACTTCTTGATAAATTATTATTGTAAAACCGTTTTTAATCCTCGTGCTTATTGTTGTGGTGAAGTTTTCGTCTGCCTACACACAACTTCTTGATAAATCATTATTGTAAAACCGTTTTTAATCCTCTTGCTTATTGTTGTGGTGAGGTTTTCGTCTGCCTACACACAACTTCTTGATAAATCACTATTGTAAAATCGTTTTTAACTGTATTAGTAAATATATTCATAAACACGTATTTCGGAACCATGTAATTACTCTGCTAAGATAAAAAATTCTAAGCACATAAGAAGAGAAAAAAAAAGCCGCAATTTATTAACATTATATTCCTTTGCCAAAGCAATTTTACAAAATTATAGTGAAACTTGGATTACTAACTGGCTCGTTTAGGTCTTTCGATATATTATAAACATCATTTGTTTCTTCAAAGGTAAGCTATTTGCGTGATAACAAAACATACGTTTTTTATTAGATTTATGTATATGTAAAATAAATATAAATAAATTCAGCTTTTAAATTGGCACTAATCAGATAAATAACAATGAGACGTAACTTGTTCCGAAGTTTAGGTTTCAAGGTTAAAAGAAAAACATATAACTGCACAAACCGTCACTAATTTCCTGCGGTGTGGCATCAACAACCTGCCATCCTCCATAATTTGTTGGTAGATCAGGTCTCGTCATCCAACAATCATTCCATACATGAAAATTCCTACGGTAGAGTAAATACGCTGGTTTCAGTTACCATTAGTTGATTTACAGTAAACACAATGGTTTCAGTTACCGTTAGTTGCCTTACAGTAAACAAGCTGGTTTCAGTTACCATTAGTTGATTTACAGTAAACACAATGGTTTCAGTTACCGTTAGTTGCCTTACAGTAAACAAGCTGGTTTCAGTTACCATTAGTTGATTTACAGTAAACACAATGGTTTCAGTTACCATTAGTTGCCCTACAGTAAAAGAGTTGGTATCAGTTACCATTTAAAACATTACACGAAAGAAAGTTACAACTTTTTATAACATTAATTTTAAAGATCGAGACCTTAAAACAATATACTTCAGAGTTATTCCAATTTTCTTTTATACAAAGTATGAGCAAATAAGTAAAACACATCTACAGCCAATTTACAATCGGTTATAATTACGCATACAAAAAGGAAAGATGATAATACCTTATCGAATGCAGTTTACTTATAATCAACGTTAGGACATGAAAATATAAATGCCCGCCGAATTATATGCAGTTTGATTTTTTTTGAAGCGCAAAGCTGTACAATGGAACTATCTGTGTTGTGTCACCACAGGGATCAAATTTCTAATGTTAGGATTGGGGGATACGTACAGTTTTGTTATCTTAGAAAATATGGAATGTGAACGTTGAAAAAAGTCGTTTTGATTTGTGAGTTAACCTTGTAAGTGCAGAATATTTCAAATGATTCGTGAAGAAATTAAAGTATCAGCCAAAGACACTACCAAAGATGACGCAATTTCTTTTGTCATGTTGATCAATTAGGCATTTTGGGTGACGTTCAGTCTAAAAAGAAAAAGAAAAAAGAGACACAAGGCAAAATTAAAAGGCTCTTAGCAACTCACGTTCTGGAACGAAGCTTCGTCTACAGGAATGTATTACTGGAATTCTCGTGAGAGCTATCTGGCAGGTGATAAATAGAAAAGGGAACTCACACTGCGAAAGTTATACGTATGCCCTAGCAAAAATTACAAGCACCGAGCCTGTTATTGTTGACCTTATATAGATATGATGACTTAGGACTCGATTTATCGTGAAAGTTTATCTGAAGCTTTTATCATTATTGCTGATTGGAAATATATACTGTTCCAAGGACAAAGCGAGAGTGATAAAAGAGGACAAAGTCAGTTTTCAGTATGTACACGATTTCACATTTTATTCTAATAAGTAAACATCACATTATGCAGATATTAAGCCAAAAAATTTTGCATGAATCAAGACTAGACAGATTGCCATACCTCAACCTTAACCCTTTCATACATCTAGGAGTTTGGCTTTCTTTACAGTTACTACTTTCATACATCTAGGAGTTTGGCTTTCTTTACAGTTACTACTTTCATACATCTAGGAGTTTGGCTTTCTTTACAGTTACTGCTTTCATACATCTAGGAGTTTGGCTTTCTT